AGGTTGGAGAACTTCTCCCTTGTGGAAGCAAAAGGGGTTTCTGTTTAAGTCAGGAGGCTTCTCATAAAGGGAAGTGGGGAGGGGTTTGGTGCTGGAGTGGAACACAAGGCCGGCAGCTATTTTGTGCTTAGTTTGTTGTACAATGGCGCTGGTTGCATCCAAAATCCATCACTTTCACGTACCTTAAGGTACATAACAATGTAACTTACAGATCTTTCCAAATCACTATATAAAGACCATTCTCACTCTTTTTTACAGTTGCATAATATTCTTCTGGAGGAACGTATCATAGGTGTGAAATAGTCCCTTACTGATAGACCTCCAGGTTTTCTTTTGTCTTTTGTCTTTTTCCGTGTCTGGCAACGGATCGCAACCCTCAGTGTTGCCCCCGTACCGGACCGGGGACCGGCAACGGGATCGCAACCCTCGGTGTCGCTCCCGCGCCTCGCTCAGCCAGTGAGCAGGAACCGGTCCGCATGTGGGATCCGAACCCTCGGGCGGGAGCGCCGCCGCGCTTCCCAAGCGGCGCACTATCCAGTGCGCCACCGGGCCGGCCCCACGGAAGCCTTTTTAATCCTATTCACTCGAAGGTCAAACAACCCCAAACCCTGCTGACATATTCCTCTTGCTACCCTCCTTCCTTCAAGGTCAAGTACAAATCAGACTTGAACCTGACCAGAGGTGTTGGCTGGACTCCTCCTGGCTCCTACAAAGTGGAAATGGCTCGGCGGGCTGCAGAACTGGCCAACGCAAGGGGCCTGGGTCTCCGGGGGGCTTACGTGAGTATCAAGCTGCAAACCCACCCAGCTTGCAAGGCCACGGGGAAAGAAAAACTCATTGTTTCTTTTAAAAGTTTATTTTTGGCCAAAGGTCAGCTGGCTCTAAAGAAGTGTGAAATGCAGCTCGGGCAAGGCGCCTAATTTCATGGGTCTGAGATGACCAGGCGGATGACACATAGGTTAAACTTCCTGCCGTGGCTTCTCTGAAGTCACAACCATTAGTTCTGCAGAGGCAAACCTACCGGGGCTACATCAATCCCGGGCCAGGGCAGCCCAGGCTGTGCTGACTGCTTGCTCGTTATATGCTCAGAAAGGGTCAGGGACTAGCTGGCTATGACAGTCCGCATTGTGAACCCTACTTTGTTCAGAAGAAGGACGCCACATCTAAATGAGAGATTGGCTTCACTTCTTTCTCGTTCTTGCCTTGAGGATCCTTTTCCTTGGGGAGGGTGGAGGAGGGGAAAAGGAGCGGGTGGGTGAACATTTTAAAGGCTCTGGGGGCATCTCAGCCAGTCCTGTGGAGCAGGGTGAGAGCTTCGTTTTAACTCAAGGTGTATGTTTGATTTCTGCAGGGGGCGCCAGAGGCAGTGGAGACTGGTGATTATCGGAGCGGGGAGGTGAACCCAGATGCCACAGAGATTCTGCACGTCAAAAGGAAGAAGGCTCTGCTGTTGTGAGCGAGCAGCGTCCACCCCAGATTCTTGAGGGAGAAGCTGGAGAGGGAGTTTGCTCGCCAGAGACATGCTTTACGTGGCTTCAGTTTGGGTGAGCTGCAAAAACAGCACTCCAGCCCATCCCCAGATCTGCTTTTATTAAAGGAACAACTTTGAAAGCAAGTGGAGAGCATCGTATTTTTGTATTTTAGCCTAGACATGGAAGGCTGGTTCTGTTGAGTACCTCGAGCGTCTGGGATGGGGAGCAGAGACGCCAGGGTGACTGCACTGATGCTGGGCATTCCGTGATCCCATGTTTGCAGATGTCTGAGGTGGAGGCAGTCTCTGTGAACACTGACATACTAGAGCGGACAACTGTTTGAAGGGAAGCAAACACAATAAATTTCATGTTGATTCTGTCCATCCTTAGTCTCCCTGGGGAGGCAGAGGGAGCCCAAAGAGATGGTGCACGTGGGCAGCAGTTGTCTCTGCCTGGAGCTTGGACGCTCTGCTGCATGGCCTCCTGAGGCTCCGAGGGTGTCCACTGCGGCCCACAAGACCCCCTTGTCTGGGTGTGGAGGAAGATGGGCTCTGAGGTTCAGACACAGCCCCTTAGAAGCCATCCTCCCTGCGGATGGTGGCTTTGATCCAGTCCAGGAACTTGGTAACTTGGGTGTAGACACCTGGCTTCTTCCCACATTCCAAGCCCCAGCTCACTATCCCGTAGACGTAGTAGGAGCCATCCTTCTCACAGGTCAGAGGGCCCCCCGAGTCACCCTAGGGAAAAGAAGCGTGAGCTTATCCTTGTGCACGAGAATCTATCCGGAGGCGCCCCTGCCTCTCTCGAGGGGGTGCCAAGATGGAGTCACCTGCCAGATGCTATGGCTCCTCTGGGAAGCAGTGACAAGGTTGCTCCAGGCCCCACATGACACGGGCTCTGAAGGGAGAGGAGCTAATGCCATCCTCCATCCCCGAGCGTGTGAGCACCTGGCCGAGAAGCCACAGGACTGTGGCCATGGTGCTGTGGGTAAACCCATCCTTCCTGACTCATAGTCACATGGCTGTTATGACTGTGAGTTCTCAGGGGACCTCTGGCAGCTGACCAGGGGGTGGTACCTTGTTTGGATAGATCCCTTCCAGGGCCAGCAGGCAGGAGCCAGAGGCAGCACAGCCGGGGTGTTCAGCGTGGTCTATGGGGTCAGATCTGGGTCTCTACCCAAGCTCTACCGCCTGCTAGCCATGTGAACTTGGGCCTCAATTTCTCACATTGTAAACTGTGGATAGCAACAGAATCCCCACCCCCCACCCCCAGCCCGGGGTTTTTGTGAGGACTAGTTGTTTGTAGAGTCTATAAACCAGTTTCTGGGTCCTATGAAGCCCTCTCCTGAAGTGACCAGTGGGAGGACGGTGGGAGGAGGAGGTCAGTGGGGCTGTGAGCCTTGGACACTCACTGCTGCTTCAGCACTACAGCTAACAGGGGCTTTAGAGATGGATTCTCCCTTCCAACCTTAGTCACGACCTTATGGATCTTACAGATACATTAGTTCCATTTTATAGATCAGGTATGTGAGATTGGAGAATTTGGTGATTGATAAAGGTCACACAGTAAGAGACAGAACCAGGTTTCAAACCCGCAACTCTCTGTTCCCAAAGCCTTCAAGTGAATCCCTTGAATTATCTAGGTGACTGAACAATCTCTTTTCTTACTCATCTTCCAGGAGCTTAGGACGAATCGCACTCATTTGCCTGTGCTCCTCCTTTGTGTATGTGACTATCGTGGCCCCTTGGGAAGGGGTCACAGTACAGCCACAAACTCTGGAGAGAATAATACTGACTTTCCATCTTAAAGTAGAATGGAGGCTAGAAAATCCATTTGCCGGTGCTCCTCCTTTGTGTATGTGACTATCGTGGCCCCTTGGGAAGGGGTCACAGTACAGCACAAACTCTGGAGAGAATAATACTGACTTTCCATCTTAAAGTAGAATGGAGGCTAGAAAATTATTGTTGGGTCCCCTTGTAGGGGGGCTCCATCAAAGAGCTGAGAGTTGAACATGGCCATGCTGGGTTTTCTAGGACAGCTGGGAGGTTTATGAGGACAATAGGCAGAAAATTCTAAACTGAGGTGTTCTTGGGAATCTAGGAAGGAAACATCCTGTGTGGTATGATCCCTACAAAGAGAGGGACTATGGGGAGTGGACTTTGACTTGGGGCAGGGGCCTGAGGTCACTTTAGCACCAGTAGATGGGGCTACCCGCCCCCCCACTCCAGCAGTGTCTCTGAATCACCACAGGCCTCAGCAGCTTGGGGTTCCCAAAAGTCCTAGCCTAGGGGGAATGTCAGGCCCCAGGTTGGCTGTGGTCATAGAGATGCTTAGTTTGCTAGGGCTAAATCAATCTCTCTCTCTCCCCCATGCACCCATGTACACACACACACTTAAATCCTAATGATCAGTTTAATTAACATTATTGTGAAATCTGTAGGCCTTACATCTTTCTGTTCCCTGCATACTGGGATTTTCAGACATGCTGCCCAACACTGAGGCTAGAGGCTCCACCTTTACATGTAAACACAGTGAAACAAAGTGGCAAAGGCTTTGGTGTTGCATGCACCTGGCTGTTCAAATTCCAGCCCTGCCATGTCCACCCCATTGCTATAGGCCAAGATAACTTCTGTAAGCACCTGTAAAGTGGTGATAGTGACATGCCCTTCACCAGAGTGTTGTGAGAGATGAGTCAGACAGTGCAAGCCACGTGACTGCTGAGGTTATCATGCTGAGTCATCCTGGGTTGACATGGATTCAGATGTGCTGAGGGACAGCTATGCCCCACCGGTGCCTTAGCACAGAGGTGGATCTCTGAATCTGGATCCCAGCCCAGTGCTCTAACGGGCCTCTGTGCCCAGTGTAATATCCTGCCAGCCCCTCCTTCTCCAAGTGTCATTTGGAATCTCTGACCTGACAGGTGTCCTGCCCAGGTTTCTGAAGGTTTCCTGCACAAATCATGCTGTCGTCAATCATGTGGTCATAGAGCTGGCGAGAGTTGCACAGAGTGTTGGCAATCAACTTGACTTTGGCATCCAGAAGCTGGCGGGACCCTTCTCCTGTGGGGCAGAGAAAAGAATCACTACTGTGGGGACCAAGGTGGCACCCATCCCACCAGAAGGAAGCAGTAGTAAGGAGACCATGAGCTCTCAGCTTAGGAAGGAAGTTTTCTCCAGGATTTGGTCAAAAAGCCTCATCTTCTGAGGCTGCGGGCTCCCTTACTTCAGCCTTCATCATGTCTCTACAGACCTGAAATGCTGCACTGATCACAATGGAGCAGGATCATTTATTCCCTCTCTGTTTCCCCAGCTAGACCATGAGGTCCAAGAGGGCAGGAATGGGGTCTTAATCATTTTAAAATTTCCTATTCCTCAAGAAGGGCTGGCACATGGTAGATTCTGAATGAATGAATGAATGGATGGATGGATGGATGGATGGATGGATGGATGGATGGATGGATGGATGGATGGATGGATGGATGGATGGATGGATGGATGGATGGATGGATGGATGGATGGATGGATGGATGGATGGATGGATGGATGGATGGATGGATGGATGGATGGATGGATGGATGGATGGATGGATGGATGGATGGATGGATGGATGGATGGATGGATGGATGGATGGATGGATGGATGGATGGATGGATGGATGGATGGATGGATGGATGGATGGATGGATGGATGGATGGATGGATGGATGGATGGATGGATGGATGGATGGATGGATGGATGGATGGATGGATGGATGGATGGATGGATGGATGGATGGATGGATGGATGGATGGATGGATGGATGGATGGATGGATGGATGGATGGATGGATGGATGGATGGATGGATGGATGGATGGATGGATGGATGGATGGATGGATGGATGGATGGATGGATGGATGGATGGATGGATGGATGGATGGATGGATGGATGGATGGATGGATGGATGGATGGATGGATGGATGGATGGATGGATGGATGGATGGATGGATGGATGGATGGATGGATGGATGGATGGATGGATGGATGGATGGATGGATGGATGGATGGATGGATGGATGGATGGATGGATGGATGGATGGATGGATGGATGGATGGATGGATGGATGGATGGATGGATGGATGGATGGATGGATGGATGGATGGATGGATGGATGGATGGATGGATGGATGGATGGATGGATGGATGGATGGATGGATGGATGGATGGATGGATGGATGGATGGATGGATGGATGGATGGATGGATGGATGGATGGATGGATGGATGGATGGATGGATGGATGGATGGATGGATGGATGGATGGATGGATGGATGGATGGATGGATGGATGGATGGATGGATGGATGGATGGATGGATGGATGGATGGATGGATGGATGGATGGATGGATGGATGGATGGATGGATGGATGGATGGATGGATGGATGGATGGATGGATGGATGGATGGATGGATGGATGGATGGATGGATGGATGGATGGATGGATGGATGGATGGATGGATGGATGGATGGATGGATGGATGGATGGATGGATGGATGGATGGAAGGATGGATGGATGGATGGATGAAGTGCCATGGTGTACTAGATTACCTTCTTCCCAGAGCAGACACTGTCCTCCCTGAAGATAACAAAATCAATCAAAATATGTCATTGACTTTCAACGTATAGTCTTAGAGCCTATTCATGAAAAAATAATTCCAACCTGAGGCTCCATAAAATTCCCATCTGAGACACCACCTTGCTGACCAGACCATACTGAGCAGAACAGAAGTCAAAAAGTTTAGATGGACTACAGTGAAAATGGCTACAAAAAGAGTTTTCTGGTTGACCATAAATCCAATTAGCCAGAAATTTCTTTTCCCAAAAGCTTCTGGAAAAGCTTACATTTCACCTTTGCTACAGACTGAATTGTGTCCCCCAAGGGTCCATGTATTGGAAACTTAACCCCCACTGTGACAGTCTTAAGATGGTCTTAAGAAATCTTATTATGGTAATTGAAAGGTGGGGCCTTGAAGAGGTAATTGGATTGTGATGACTATGCCCTATGAGTGTATTAACCCATTGATGGTTTAATGGTGATCATGGGTATGGCTCTGATGGCTTTAAAAGGAGAACTCATGAGAAGCTTTCCCTTTCTCAGTCTCTCTCTTTGCTCCTGCCATATTTGCCATGTGACACTCCGTGTTGCTGTAGAGCCACGACCAAGAACAAGGCCCTCAGTAGATGTGTTCCCTGGACTTTGGACTTCCCAGCCTCCAAAACTGAAAGCAATAAATATTATTTCTTTACAAATTTCCCAGTTTCAGGTAGTCTGTTGTAAGCAACAGAAANCCATTTGCCGGTGCTCCTCCTTTGTGTATGTGACTATCGTGGCCCCTTGGGAAGGGGTCACAGTACAGCACAAACTCTGGAGAGAATAATACTGACTTTCCATCTTAAAGTAGAATGGAGGCTAGAAAATTATTGTTGGGTCCCCTTGTAGGGGGGCTCCATCAAAGAGCTGAGAGTTGAACATGGCCATGCTGGGTTTTCTAGGACAGCTGGGAGGTTTATGAGGACAATAGGCAGAAAATTCTAAACTGAGGTGTTCTTGGGAATCTAGGAAGGAAACATCCTGTGTGGTATGATCCCTACAAAGAGAGGGACTATGGGGAGTGGACTTTGACTTGGGGCAGGGGCCTGAGGTCACTTTAGCACCAGTAGATGGGGCTACCCGCCCCCCCACTCCAGCAGTGTCTCTGAATCACCACAGGCCTCAGCAGCTTGGGGTTCCCAAAAGTCCTAGCCTAGGGGGAATGTCAGGCCCCAGGTTGGCTGTGGTCATAGAGATGCTTAGTTTGCTAGGGCTAAATCAATCTCTCTCTCTCCCCCATGCACCCATGTACACACACACACTTAAATCCTAATGATCAGTTTAATTAACATTATTGTGAAATCTCTAGGCCTTACATCTTTCTGTTCCCTGCATACTGGGATTTTCAGACATGCTGCCCAACACTGAGGCTAGAGGCTCCACCTTTACATGTAAACACAGTGAAACAAAGTGGCAAAGGCTTTGGTGTTGCATGCACCTGGCTGTTCAAATTCCAGCCCTGCCATGTCCACCCCATTGCTATAGGCCAAGATAACTTCTGTAAGCACCTGTAAAGTGGTGATAGTGACATGCCCTTCACCAGAGTGTTGTGAGAGATGAGTCAGACAGTGCAAGCCACGTGACTGCTGAGGTTATCATGCTGAGTCATCCTGGGTTGACATGGATTCAGATGTGCTGAGGGACAGCTATGCCCCACCGGTGCCTTAGCACAGAGGTGGATCTCTGAATCTGGATCCCAGCCCAGTGCTCTAACGGGCCTCTGTGCCCAGTGTAATATCCTGCCAGCCCCTCCTTCTCCAAGTGTCATTTGGAATCTCTGACCTGACAGGTGTCCTGCCCAGGTTTCTGAAGGTTTCCTGCACAAATCATGCTGTCGTCAATCATGTGGTCATAGAGCTGGCGAGAGTTGCACAGAGTGTTGGCAATCAACTTGACTTTGGCATCCAGAAGCTGGCGGGACCCTTCTCCTGTGGGGCAGAGAAAAGAATCACTACTGTGGGGACCAAGGTGGCACCCATCCCACCAGAAGGAAGCAGTAGTAAGGAGACCATGAGCTCTCAGCTTAGGAAGGAAGTTTTCTCCAGGATTTGGTCAAAAAGCCTCATCTTCTGAGGCTGCGGGCTCCCTTACTTCAGCCTTCATCATGTCTCTACAGACCTGAAATGCTGCACTGATCACAATGGAGCAGGATCATTTATTCCCTCTCTGTTTCCCCAGCTAGACCATGAGGTCCAAGAGGGCAGGAATGGGGTCTTAATCATTTTAAAATTTCCTATTCCTCAAGAAGGGCTGGCACATGGTAGATTCTGAATGAATGAATGAATGGATGGATGGATGGATGGATGGATGGATGGATGGATGGATGGATGGATGGATGGATGGATGGATGGATGGATGGATGGATGGATGAAGTGCCATGGTGTACTAGATTACCTTCTTCCCAGAGCAGACACTGTCCTCCCTGAAGATAACAAAATCAATCAAAATATGTCATTGACTTTCAACGTATAGTCTTAGAGCCTATTCATGAAAAAATAATTCCAACCTGAGGCTCCATAAAATTCCCATCTGAGACACCACCTTGCTGACCAGACCATACTGAGCAGAACAGAAGTCAAAAAGTTTAGATGGACTACAGTGAAAATGGCTACAAAAAGAGTTTTCTGGTTGACCGTAAATCCAATTAGCCAGAAATTTCTTTTCCCAAAAGCTTCTGGAAAAGCTTACATTTCACCTTTGCTACAGACTGAATTGTGTCCCCCAAGGGTATTGGAAACTTAACCCCCACTGTGACAGTCTTAAGATGGTCTTAAGAAATCTTATTATGGTAATTGAAAGGTGGGGCCTTGAAGAGGGAATTGGATTGTGATGACTATGCCCTATGAGTGTATTAACCCATTGATGGTTTAATGGTGATCATGGGTATGGCTCTGATGGCTTTAAAAGGAGAACTCATGAGAAGCTTTCTCTTTCTCAGTCTCTCTCTTTGCTCCTGCCATATTTGCCATGTGACACTCTGTGTTGCTGTAGAGCCACGACCAAGAACAAGGCCCTCAGTAGATGTGTTCCCTGGACTTTGGACTTCCCAGCCTCCAAAACTGAAAGCAATAAATATTATTTCTTTACAAATTTCCCAGTTTCAGGTAGTCTGTTGTAAGCAACAGAAATGGACTGATACAACTTTCTTCATGAATGCAGACCTATTTAAAGTGATGCTTGTTTTCCATTATTAAGGACAAGATTTGGAAGGGAAGAGAAATGTATTTTGAGTATTTGGGAAAGACTTGAAATACCCTTCTGAATTTCTTTGTATTGGAGGTTATAATCTTACCAGTATTATGAGGAAGGTAACCCTTTGGTTACTTTTTTGGATAAGACCAAATCCTAGAGACAAATCAATATAGTTCAGTTTAACAAAATGTTACAGAACATCTGCTACATAGAGAGCCCTGACCAAAGTACTGTGGGAGAGACAGAGATAAGTGAGACCTGACCCCACCCTCTAGGGGCTGACTTAATGAATATCTCTATAAAATTCTGTCATCTCCTGTGATTGTGATTCCACACCTGGGAGGTAGGTATGATTATTGGGAAACTAAAACTCAGTTGTTAAGCCACAAAGCCAGGAATCTAATGCAAGTCTCTCTGGCTCTAAAGTCCATGCTCTCCCCCAGTCCACTCTCTTTGCAATCTACCTAGGGGAGGAGAGAGGTCTCCATGGATAAAGGATCAATGCTTAATAAAAGTCAAGTTTCTAGGGGTACAGACTAGGGACAGATATGGATATCAGGGAACATCAGGGAAGGCTCCTTGCAGGTAGGGAGATTGAACCAGAGTTTGAACAATGGGGCAGATGCTTTCTTTTGATAATGCATTTTGAATGTAATGCTTATTTCAAGTTCAGAGGGCAGTTGCATTTGGCCTTTTCTTCTCTGGTTGAGGTAGGTCTCAGGAGAAGCCACGGCCAGACTCACCTGTTTCTGTAACACCCCAGCCGGAGATGTGGCACTCAGTCCCAGAGTGAAAGGGGCCATCAGGCAAACACACAGTCTTCACGTATTTGGATTCCAGAGCACAGTGACCATCCACAGGCTTTAACTTGAGCAAAGCTAGGTAGAGAGAGAGGGAAAGGGGAACGGGTGGTGGTGTCATCTCTTTGTCAGAGAAGCACCAGCTTCAATGTGTTTTGGAAGGTGATCGTATCAAAGCCTCAGCCCCCACGCCTGAAAAATTTCTTCTTTGGTCATTTCATTTTTTAAACTTCTACCTGGGAAGGAGTAACACTTTAGGCTGAGGGTAATAGCAAGAAATAATCATTGAATTTGAAATCATTTCTAATCCATTAAAAGAAAAAAAAAACAGGCTATAAGAGGAAAAATAGCTATTGAGGAAGGGGGGGAGGGAGGTCTCATGAAGAGGGAAATAGGGTGCAGAACTTAGTAGCCAGTAGCTTAAGAACATCATTCCCTGTGCACCTGAGCACCCACCAGGCACCAGATGTGTCCACATGCACATCGTGTCACTTAACATACAGGAAGCTGGGAGTTGTGCATCAGTGTGCCCATCTTATAGAAGAGGAAACTGAGGCTCAGGAAGGTGACTTGGCTCCTGGATAGCAAGTGGGAGCTGGGATTCATGGCCAAACTCTTTCTACAACACAACGTCCCTAGCATCTCTTCCCCTCCGTTTAAGAGCATGTGCCCATTCAGTCACCACACCAACACACACTCTTAAGAACTGAAAAGCCCTGGGATAAATTCTCTACCTTACGGGACCTACAAGGGATGAAAACAATCAAGAGCACCTTCCAGAACCAGACCTCAGCTTTCCATCAGTAGAGAAATCCACCCAGAACATGACCCACGGGACATCATGATAGAAGAGACTTGCCAATATCATTGTGGGGAATCTCATCTCTTTCATTGTAGTGGCTGTACTTGAGTATCTTCTCCACCCTGAAACTCTGCTCATGGAATTCTGGCTTCTTCAGGTCCTGTTCCCCTAGCACCACTTTTAGGTGTTTGGCTTTTATGCTGCAGAGAAAATAAGGTGGTCAAAAAATGACCTTGGGATGTGAGAGGCTGGAGCCACCTGCTGGCTCCGCCCTGGGTAAGCTATGCAACCTTTGACAAGCCCCCAACCTTCTGCAGCCTTGGCATTGTCACCTGCCGTCTCATCTCACTCACAGAACTCTGCTGTGTGGTCCAAATAAGATAACATAGCAGACTACCTTATTAGTGGAAGCAGGCTCCAAATGTAGGCTGTAATTTTTATCCCACTTTTCCTGGGAGACCTCCCATCTCCCTGGGCCTTGCAAAAGAACAGCATTGATATCTTGAACAAATCTTCTAAAATCCAGGGGTAAGTGCTAATGTTTGCTTGCTTGACCTCTCTTGGGTCCTAGAATCCCAGATGAAATTGTTTAATAACAGGGGGACAGAAGGCCTTCAAACACCTCTAAAACCTGGGCTTCCTGGGACCAACCCTGACCATGAGCTTAGGGAACTCGGAGGAGGTGAGGATTCTTCAGCTCCCCAGAAGGCACTTGTATTTCTAAGGCACACAGGAGGCCTGGATGAAGACACCTGGCCCAGGAGGTTCATTGGTGGTGGCATCAGACAGGAGAGCATGCTATTTTTCTCTGTTTAGGGCAGGACTAAGAGGTAAAGGAAGCAGTTACATCTGGGCTCACATTCTATTCACCCACTTACTTTCCAGCAGACTTTAGGTGAGGTGCTAAGCATTCCCAAGATTCAGGGTCTTCATTATTAAAAGGGGAAAAAAAATATTTTCCCTCCACAAATATTTACTGATCACTTGCTATGTACAAAAACCCACTCTAGGCATTGGGGATACTACAATTTATAAAGCAGATAAATATCTCTGCCCTCCCTCAGCTTGTCTTTCAGTAAATAGTTTTGACAATTAAGTGTCATATAATACGTGAAATGCTCATGGTAAGCATTCTAGATGAGGTAGCTATTTCCATTTTTCATTTGGTTTTTAGGAGCCACTCTTTTGCTCTTGGAGCTAGAGCAGACCCCCTAGTCCAGCCAGGGCTATCAAGATACTGCTCAGATGGGAAGGGGAGAGTCACCCTGGTCCCTGCTCCCAGCGGGCACCTACTCAGTGCAGTGGGCAGCAGTGAGCACCCAACAGGGGTGGATCAGGGCCCCTCCACAGAAGTGGCCCTGAGGCATGGACACGGTCAGTGGAAGCAAGGTCTGCAAGGATGCCTGCCAGGGGTGCTTGCCCGCCGTGCTCTTAAAGCCTCCGTAGATCCTCTTGACATTCCTCTCTGCAAGCTCAGTCTTCCCGCAGGAGTCAAAGCCCGGAATCGTGGTCAGGGGTTCTGTTGTGCTTTCCTCTTGGTTGGCAACGTCTGTGGGACACAAGAAAGAGCCTCCTACTCAGCCTCCTTCATCAGAGGTATGACTCTGAGTCCAGCAGTGAGCAAGTGTCCAGCACTAAGCGACTGTACCGGTGCTCACAGGGTGGGCACGCAGTAGATGCACCATTGATATTTGTTGAGTATATTGATATAAAGCAAGCCTACAGTATTAATGATGAAGATTCTACTTTTTCCTTCCTATTTTAACATGTGTTGCTCCTAGGATCTACACGTATGTACAGACATGCAGGTGTGTGTGTAGATATACCAACCCATACTGGGTATGTACTTAGTGATTTGTTAATGCACACATACATTTTGGAGGCTTTTCCAATGTGGAGGGAAGGATAACTGATGCAGTAGCTTAGGGGAGACAAGATGTTTGCATAGATAACTGTGATGCAAAGGAGAGAATGATGCTTGCTGTATGGGTGATGCCTTGTTTCATTCCTTCAGGCTTGTAAAGAGAGAGAGATAACACTTCACTTGGGAGATTAAGGATGACTTCCTGGAGGAGGGGATACTTGAGTTGGTTCTCACAGAATGGTTGGGTCTGGACAAGAGCAGATATGGGGTGGAGTATTAGAGACAGAGGTAACCACAGGAGCAAAGGCACTGATATGAAACTGTTCAGGGAGAGAATCCATTGGTCAGCGTGGGAGGGTGCATCATTCCAGATGTGGCACAGAGGTGGGCTAGGGCAGACTGGCAGAAACACTGTGAGGCTGGAATTCAGACCATGTTGCTTCCTGGCAGAATATGGGGGCCTATCCGATGTTTGATCACCATTGTACACTCACTGCCTAGCACACAGCAAGAGATTGATAAATATATGCTTAATGCACCGACTTCCTATTAGGAAACATGAGTTTACAGTTGGACCACCTGGCCTGAGCTTACCAAGGCATCCTGAGTGGGGCAGAGGATTCGGCAGTTGGGTTAGCACTGGGGTGGGTATTGGTAAAGCAGATGTGGAGGAAGGACAGGGTGCAAGGGAAGAGGTGCCAGGAATGTCTCTCTATGGATCTGCAACCCCCCTGCCCCCCACGCCTGGTGCCTTCGGACAGTCACGGACTTACCTGTTGAGCAGGCTGAGACATCACAGTACTCCCATTTCACCTTCTCATTGTTAAGTTTAATGAAGCACCAGGGCTTTTTGTCTCCATCTGGGTTTCTAAAATTAAAAAAAAAAAAAATAACTCAGGGTTAAGTCTTGGTAAACCCACCTGACCTCATTAAAGGACCTTTGTTTAAGAGGGTGCCAAGCCCTAGTGCTCCTCCAGGAGCCCCATTCCATTTGAATCATCCAACAGGTTAGCAAACTTTGGCTTAGAAGGGTGGTCATAATTTTTCAGCAAAATCTCAACTTCCAGAGGGGAATCCCAAGGACCAGGAAGTAGTTCACAAGCCTTGTGCCTGACCCATGAGACATATCAAGTTGCTTGTAGGAAAAGAATCAAGATCCCTATAGAAGACATTTCTTGGTCAGGGAGGAAAATAATCACAGAAACATGGTAAGAGTAGGGTGCCTCTGCCTGAACCTCCCAATTCCATGCCCGGGAATCCTCTGAGAAAGGCTGCCAAGGGGACCACCCTGAAGACAGCTCCAGGAAGGGAACAGTTCCAGGTGAGTGCAAGTGGAGGGTAACTAGCATTTTGTGCAAGGAAAATCCTCTTGTGTATGGAGTCAGTTTAAAGACCTCCGAAGGAGCTCTGCTTCTTATATCCAAGTCATGTAAGTCATTGGCCTTGGTTAGACAAAGGCGGTGGAAGGAAGTCAACAGAGTGGACTGGAGTCCATGGAAAGGGGAGAAGGTAACTAGAGTCAGCACTAGAGAGGGTAATGGCATTGTCCTTACTTGGGAAAACCTGAACATCCTGTGGCAGAGACTGTAATGCTCACCAGACATTCCATTTGCTCCTCTACATACCTGTCTTGAGGTTATGTGGGGTCACATGACTGTTTCTCACTGATGATAGATGCATGAGGAGGTGGCATGTCACTTCTGGGTTGAGGTAGTGAAAAACGCACATGCTCCATTTTCTCATCTCTTCTTGCCCTTTCTGGGCATTTGAGCAACTTTGTGGAGCTAAATCCCTTGTCATCACCACCACCAACCCACATGACACATCTTCCCTTAGTAAGAAATAAACTATGATGTATTTGATCCACTGCAATTTGGGGGTTGTTTGTTACAACAGCATAACCTCTGACTGTTCTGACTGGGAAAATCTTCCAAGAAAGAAGGCTGATGCGTTTCAATGGTCTCTTTCAAAAATCAACTGACCCAAGACTGAGCCTGGAGAATAAGGTGAGTTTTACCTGCAGAAGTTGTGCTCCCCAATCCCATGGGCCTCAGCATCTTCCATAAACATGTTGTAATTCTCCTGCAAGAGGAGGTGGGAGTTCCAGGAAAGGCATGGGTGCTGGTTGACGGTCCTGCTCACTTTGCCTCGGTAAGAGAGACCATCACCAAAATAGCAGTCATCAGAACCTCGGAGAGAGCAGGCAGGCATGTGAGAACTGATAACAGGTGTGCTGCTCCCCAAAAGGGCATGGTGGGTGCATCAAGAGGTGATGGGATGGGACCTGAATATTTATCACTCTGAGATGTCACCACAAAGTTCCAGAAAGAAGGTGGCTTGAATGTTCAAAATAGACCCAGCTTAAAAACGTGAAATACACTGGAAGTGGGAGGTAGGAGCTTAGTTCCTTAAGTTTGGCTCACCCATAAAAAGGTGGAGAGTAGGCTGGGCCCAGGGATGCCCAAGTGGTCGACTCGTTACACTACATCCTGGTTTATTCCATTTCTTGTGGAAAAAAATATTTTCTGCAGACATACCCTATGCCCTTAGGTTGGAAGGCTGAGGCAACAGCAGTTTGGGAAACTTGACTTGAACCACATTCTGGCAACAAAACCCAACCAGGAAAGGATTCCTCTGCAGACATACCCTATGCCCTTAGGTTGGAAGGCTGAGGCAACAACAGTTTGGGAAACTTGACTTGAACCACATTCTGGCAACAAAACCCAACCAGGAAAGGATTCCAGAAAGCTCACTGTGGCTTTGAGTTTCTGATAAGGTAGTGGCAGAGACCCATACCTATTTCACAGAATCTTCCCCTGAACTGGTCGGGACAGGTGCAGGTAAACTTAGATCTCCCCTTACGCCGGGAGCAGGTGCCACCATTCTGGCAGGGGTTTGGCCGGCACACAGGAAGTGCTGTGAACACAGAAAGCGGGGCCAGGAAGGCTCTTCAGAAGGAGTTGCAGCCTGCGTCTGAACGACGAGGAGACGGTGGTGGCACTCTTCTGGTGTCTGTCCTCTCACAAAAGATGGGTCCCCAAAGGAGAAAGGCAGACCCACTGATACTCTAGTAAATGTACACATGAACATTAAGCACATAAGCAAACAAGGGTGGAGAAGTATGTGGACAGAGACCATGCAAAAAGAGTATATAAGGAGACGGGTCACTCAGCAGAGAATAAGAAGAGGCGTGGACTGAACAGGAATTTGGAAGCCAGTCTGAGCTACCTTGAAACCTAGTTCAGTCCCCTCATAGCTGTGTGGCCGTGAGCAAGTTAGTTAACCTCTCTGAGTTTTAGTTTCTTCATCTGTAAATCTCTTCCCTGCAGTGTTTTTGAAAGAATGTGAGAGAGAACACAAATCTTCTGAGACAGTGCCTGACTCAGCAGTGACTCAATATTTATTAATTCCCCTATGTGGCATATTGCAGGAATAGATCAGGGCCTATTTCCTGGAGGAAGTGAGTTTCAAGATGATTCGTTTTGGATAGGAAGGGACACAGATCAGTCCATTTCCACCAAGCTCTTGAGGGATGATAAATCCTTAGGAATCCTAGTTAAAAGGACCTTCTCAGATGCCACGAAAACATCAGAGGCACCTGGAATTCCACACAACAGGATGCAGAGATCACAGGCACAAGCTAGAGCAGAGGAAGCCTAAAATAGATGGGCCACCACCACTTACCTCTGGAGCAGTCTGGACCTGTGTAGGGGTGTTTACAGGCACAACGGTAGTAGGGAGGACTCTGCGTAATGAGACATTCACCCCGGCCACATGGGTTGTTCTTACACTTGTGCCCTATAGGAGATCCACAGAGAAGTGGGGGTAAAGTGCAGGACATTATTTGGGGCACAGTTTTTTACCTTATGCTGATACCTGTCCAGTACAATGTTTGGGGGTGGGTGACGAGAGTGTGTGTGGACTTGTCCATGGTCCTGAAATGCCATGCCACACCAGGACAAGGTCATAGATGCCTGCTTCCCATGTTCCTTACAGAGCTCACAGTCTTAATAAAAACTTCTATAATTTTTACACCTTCAATAAACAAACAGAGCTGTAATTGTAACAGCAAGGTCAAGGGTTTGGTTCCCCATACCCGCCAGACTCCAAAACAAAACAGAAAACTGATGGAGCCACAATTTTAGTCTTTCCATTTTATAGCTGATTTCATATTCCATATACAGTTTTGCCACTCTTCTGAGAAGCTGAGGGACAAACCAGATACTATGTTTATATCCGATATCCCCAATCCTCCTGAAACACTTATCAAAGGAATCGAAAGATTGAAATGGAAGAGTAAGAAAACAGGGCACAGAGGAATGACGTCAGCCACAAAGCCCTTGCAGTGGATTGAATGGCCCCCAAAGTCACTGAAGTGTAATCTCCACTGTAACTGTTGGGGGTGACAAATCCTGTTATGATAATTGTAAGGTAAGTTTAATGGTGGTCATGGGCGTGGTTCTCAGGGCTTTAAAAAGAGCGTATGAGAGTCTCTCTCTCTGCTCTATTTTCTGCCATGTGAGGAAAAAATTGCTGTAAAACCACCACCAAGAAGACCTTCACCAGATATGTTCCTTGGACTTTGGACTTCCCAGCCTCCAAAACTGTAAGCAATAGATTTCATTTTTTATAAATCACCCAGCTCCAGGTATTTCTGTTATAAGCTACAGAAATGGACTAATACAGCCCTATATATACATAAGACCCTCATTGCCCCCACCCCATCTAGATGGTTGCTAGATTGGACAGAATCCAGGTTCTCTCTGGGGACACAATTAACCCATATGAGGAGGTCTATCCCTGATGTTTTACCCCATGGTCTCACGTTATACCCATGGGCTCACTAAAGACAGACACAGTGAGGACAGCAGGATGGGACAGCATGGGGCCAGGAGACGGGCACCAGGCCTTAGTTTCTGCTCTACTCCTAACTATCTACGTGACCATGAGAAAGTCCCCTGCACTCTCTGGACTCCCTTTCTGTAACTAGGTCAGGCCTTTTGTGCCCTGGCCCTCACCGCTTGCCTAACTCTTGACTTTGTGAAATGGAAAAACTAGCGAGAACTACAGCCATTCGTGCTACGAACACCATATTCCCACCACCGGAGCCAAGTGTGCACAGTGTGCTGTTTCCCTCCTCCTTTCCTTATGTTTATTTGTTTGTTTATTTATATCTAACTGAGAACCATGTCACCCTATTCCCTTCTTTAATTGTTTTTGTTTTTGTTTGGCGGCCGTTCGGTACAGGGATCCGAGCCCTGGACCCTGGTGTTAAAACACCACGCTCGAACCAACCGAGCTAATTCGCTGGCCAGCCCCGCGCCCCCTTCTTAAAGGAGGAAGCTTTCCTGACAGTGCCAGCCTGCTTCTAACCGGTGCCCCCTCCCTCTTCTCCAAGGCCACTGCCACCCCTCACCCCAGTCCGCCTTTAATGTCATCACTTGCCGTGTTTTCGTCCTCGTCATGTTCCTTTATACTCTTACTACATATAGATATGTTAGCATTGCTTGTGTGTGTGTTTAAAAATGTACCCTTTTTAAATAATCACTGTGTATTTCCCTGAGCCACAGCCTGCTTGTGCGTGTATCTAGCAGCATACGCATAGGCCTAGCTCACGCGTGTGAAATGCTGTATACTATTCCATTGTCATTCTGTTTCTCTGCTCTCCTGTCCTTGGATAAGTAGGCAGTTTTCAATTTGTGCCTGTTGTAGAAGCAGCTGCCGAGTTCTTGCCCACGTCTGCTGTGTCCTGTGTGCAGGACTCTCGGGGTATGTCTGTGGGAGTGAACTGCTGGGTCGTTGGGTGTTCAAATGTTCGCTTTTACTCGATATCGCCAAATTGAGTTCCCGAGTGATCATACCAGTTTACACACCCGCCAGCACTGGATGAGAGTTTTCATTTTCCCACATCCTCACTGTTTTATATTGTCAGACTTTTGCAGTGTGATGTGGCAATTGATTCCAGTAGGACATCCCAGGTGTGCAAATGCTGGGGCTTGGGAGCATCTGCCTCACCCGCACCTTTTTTCATCTCAGCTGGGAAATCACCTCTTCCTGCAGGAAGGCCTCCCTGACCGCCCTTAGCTGACTGGATGTCTCTCCTGGGCCACCTCCCATGGCCCCTTGTGCTTCCCCATCACAGGACTGGGAACCTGNTTCCTGCTCTCCCATTTGGGGACCATATTTCTCTGTTGTTGTTAGTCTAAACACTCTAAAAACAAAACCCTGAGTTTGTAATATTTTGGGGGTAGAGTGCACCTCTTATCCTCTCTTAGCCTCAATATTCTCATCTGTAGAATGGACATACTAGTTCCATCTCACAGTGCAGGGGTGGGGATTCAGTCAGGCGCTGCCTGTGCTACGCAGAGTCCATGACACATGGTACAGTACGTGCAGTTATAATCCTTTCCATGGGGCTGCTCAGCCCTTCCCTACTCCCTAGCCTTGGGGGAGGAGTCACCTCTTGTTTAACTCTGAGGGAAGTATAAACCTAGTGAATATGCACTCACCTTTCTGACACCTGTTCCCAAAGAAAGGGGCTGGGCAGCTGCACGTGAAGGTGTCCCCGCTGATGAGGCAGTCCCCGCCATGTTTACAGGGGTTGGACTGGCACGGATCTAAGACACATGGCAGATGTGAATGGTGGTAAGAAAGAGCAGGTGAGAAGCCCCCACTTGGCTCATCTCATTTCAGTCTTCTCTCCGCAATGACAGTCACTACATAGCCAGTGACCCGGGTTAAGGGGAAAACGTATGTTGTCCCTCAAGTGCAAGGAGAACTGCAGTCGCCCGACCGGAGAGGGATTCAGGTTAGTGTGAGGGGAGGCGAGAAGGAATCGTGACTGCCTTTCCTCGGCCTGGCTGTGGACGGGCCTTTCTCATGGAGAAACTCCCCTTCCCCTCATCAGGCTTTTCCCCTCCCACTCTTGCTGGGAGTGCTGCAGGGTCTGCCTCTGATGCTGGAGGCATTTCACAAGCCTCAAGACCTCCCCTACTCCCAGTGCCCAGGGCTGCAGGTCAGGAGGGGGGAAGGAGACCCACCCCTCATGCAACACACGCTTTCTGAACACCAGGAGAGAAGACCAAAGGCAAGAGGGTGACAGAGGAATTGGCGGCGAGGAGGAAGTGACCCAGTGGCCTTCATCTTTCTTCAACGACTTGTTCAGTTAGATTTTGTCACATTTCATCTGTGCCTCTGGCTTTTCATGGTTGTCTGAATGGATCTTCCCTTGGGGAATTCTTTATCCTTCTGCTCACACACATTGTTCTTCAGTTCAGGAACGAGGGTCCCTGGGCCCAGCTCTTGTTTTGATGGTCCCTTCTGATGTTTCCCCGATGCCCTGTGTCTTGGCCCTGCCTTCCAGGCCACTTCGCGCAGTTACACAGCCTTTGTTCAGCTGCGAAGTGCTCTCCATTCCTTCTCCTGGCTCACTCACATGGCTCTGCTTGGACCCAGCTTCTTATTTTTCTTTTTATCCCCTTGCTGGGGTTAAGAAGCCACAAAAACAAAAACAAGGGTGGTAGAAGCACACGTGGGTAAGTCTACACACACACACATGCACACACACATGCATGCTCCCTAATGACAGTGGAAAACCTCTGAAGAGTGAAAAGGGAAAGAAAAACACAGCGAAGGTGGTAGGGAAGGAAAGCTCCAAAGCTGAACTTGTGAATGCTACAGCCCCATACTCAATGCAAACTCATAGATTCTTCTGCATAGCTAGGACCTGACCTGCAGTCAGAGCGATGGGAATGATTTTGAACATGACTGCTCTTCACAGGGTCAGGAGACCTGGATGACGATGCATTACTTTGCATAACCTTGGCCCAGGCAGCACCTCCATTGGCCTCACTTAGTTCATCTGCCATTTGAGGGGAGGGGTGATGGTTTCTAAGAACCTCCCCTGTCCTCACACTATATGATTCTAAACTAAAAAAAAAAAAAAGTCAGTCTAAATAATTTCTTTGATGCCTATTTTACGATGCTGGTCAGAGAGGAGAGAAAGACCCTTGCATACAGTGACCCATGAATTCCCCCTCCAGGCATGCTTGCCCTCCTCCTAGGAAAGCCCCAGAAGCAGATGTGCTACCTACCATCCTCTGCATAGTACCAGTCAGGGTTCTCAGGGTAGGCAACAGTATTACTGGCGTTCTCGTCCTGGCTGTAATGCTCATAGCTGTGCTCATAGTTGTCGGGAGTCCAATCTGCAGGTGTGGGAACGGGACAGAAGAAACCCTCATCATTAGACCCAAATAAGTCGGCATCTTATTTAGTTGAACATATTTTCCCCAAAGAGTTCAAAGTCCTGTAGGAGGAATCCTGTGCCTTTCCAGCTCTCCACACTGATAGGAGTGGGGAGAAAGGGTCAGGTTTCCTGACTTTTCATTTGGGGGTGTTAGGACTGATCAAGGCAGTGTTGGCATTTGGCAGGATGCAGAGCACCTGACTGGAAACGGGGAGAAGTCAAGTCCTGACTTTCCACAAACCATGACCTTGGGTAAGCCAATTGTATCCTTGGTGCCTTGGTTTTTCTCATCTTTGAATAGCAGGAAGAGGACTGGGGTCTGGCAGGTCTCCAAGGTCCTATGTGGGGTCTGCCAGGGTCAGATCTTGAGGCACTTGAGTGCTTTATGCAGTGGTTCTGAAAATGATACTTCTTGATGGAACTTTATTAGTCCTCTTTGCTTAATAAAGTCAAAGAAACTTGTCACTTTCCATTTGGTCATGGCATCAAACTACTTCCAGGTTTTATCTATCGAGTCATTTTAACAAATAATATTCATTTAGCCCTTACTGTGTACCAGGCCCTGTGCATTTACATGCACCATCTCATTTCATCCTCACAAAAATTGAGGAGGTGTTATTATTCGCTCTACCTTAAGTTGAGAAACCTAAGGCAGAAAGAGGTTAAGTCTCTCGCCCAAGGTCACATAGCTAATAAATAGGATGTTAACTAAGGCAGTTTGTCTCCATTTAACCACTAAATTTCACTAGCTCAGCTGCTGTGCTTACCTGCCTCATCTGGCATCATACATGGCCTCGAATACATCCACATTTACCCTTGGGAAAAGGTGTCCCACCATCCCTATTGAATATCCAGCCTGACAATCAGGACAACCTTGAGAAAGTTCATGGATCTTGCCCACTGAAACAGAAGGCAGGTATGAAGTTGCCCACATTGTAAACTTCACGCTAGGCTGGTCATTGGGAAAAGCAGGCATGTGGAAGGCCGGACGTAAGCTCTTTGCTCTCTGGGGGAGACGCTGGTAGCTCTGGAAAGAAGTTTGAGGTTTGAAGAAAGTTGGATTGACTCTGCTGTCTGCAGCTGGCGGGAGCATGGCAAGGCAGCGGGTTGGAGCTGTAAGGAAGCTGTCCAGAGATGCATGTGATAACGAGGAGAAAAGGCACTCCTGCAGAGCCGGCTGATGGCTTGGAGGACGGCACTTTACCTGGGCCTGATTATCAACCACATTATCTCACTCCTCTCAGTCATTCTGTTCTAGTCTTTATCTCTTCGGCTTTTGAAAACTCGACTTTTGCACAATGGCTGTTTTATAGTTCCCATTAAAATGGAACTATCTTTTTATTTCTTTTTTGAATACGCCAACTCTGGTTCCTTGCCAAAGTTTCACCTCATTTATCACAGTGTCGAGTCAATACCCCCTGTGCTTGCTCATTATTTCTCCTGAGCTGCTTTTCCCACTATGAAAATGCTCCCAGAGGAGGCCACCTTTCCAGGGATGAGGATCTAGGTTGAAGATAAGGCCATTGTCTTCCTGGATACCCCCTGTGCTTGCTCATTATTTCTCCTGAGCTGCTTTTCCCACTATGAAAATGCTCCCGGAGGAGGCCACCTTTCCAGGGATGAGGATCTAGGTTGAAGATAAGGCCATTGTCTTCCTGGAGCAAATAAAGTTTCCTTCCATCTAGCACGATAAAGCGGTGAAAGAGAGCGAGAAGTGAGGAAGGAATCGTTTTTCTGAGTTTGACATGAAAGATTTCAAACTGACATTTGGAAGAGACAATGGGGTTTGGTAATGAGATGATCGCATCATTTATTTATTTCTTTTTCTTTGGAGAATTTATTTTTGTTTTTACAACAGGTGTTTATAGATAACTGCCTTTCAGTTTACTCCTGTAATTTCTCCCATCTCTCCCACAGCTTAGGGGTCTAGTCTTGGCTAGACCAGTAAGAATCACCCCCTTTGCAGATAGTTGGAATGGGGATAATTCTTACATGGATGGGATGGCACGACTTTTCCAGGGCATGAGGGGATGGGTGAGATGTCTGTTGGAGGATTTTGACTTGAATTCAGCTCTATGAACAAGGTCTGCTCATCTCTCACTGAAGCTAAAGAGGGAATAAAGCACTCTCTAGGGCCCAAGGTCCTTGGTTAAGGTGGGTAGAACAAGCAGAGGCTGGGTGGCCCTAGATCACTAGTGTGGACAAGGCCACCCAGCTGGAGGCTGTGCAAGAAAGGCACCAAGACTCTTTACTCCTGGGGTGTGCTGCTGCAGGTTTTGAAGGTGCTTTATAGGAGCATCGCCTGGGAGGGTGTCTCCATCTGCAAGCTTGAAGCTTTGTTGTCTTTTCTATTATGTTGCCACTTAATCCTATTGTCTATGTAAATAATTTGTCTTGTGCACCTAAAATGGGACAATATTATGCCAGGTGCAGGAAGGCACTGGGGACAGTAGAGAGTTATATAAATAAGAGTGGGATGTAGCCTTCCCCTCAAAGGACACTCCTTCTGGGTTGGGAGGAGGAAGAAAAGCAGCCGAGGAAGGAGAAGAGAGGGTAGTGAAGATACGGGGGAGCTAGATGTGACCAAGTCTAGGCCTGGTGGCTTCAAGTTCTACAATGGAATTCTGCTGTGGAAGCAGCCAATCTGATGACAAAAATGGCCCCTGATCATCCAGCCCTCCCTGTATCCAAACCCTTTGCAATGTGACTTTTCGGCTCTTCCCACCAAGAGATGGACTTCCCCACCCCTTGCGTCTGGGCTGGCCTTGGGACCTGCTTTGGCCAATAGCATGTGGTGCAAGGACAGTATGCTAGCTCAAAGCCTGGAGGCTTCAAGAAGTTCCCCATGCCTTCTCCTCGGCCTGGACACCTGTGACTGCCATGTGAACAGTTTGGCCTACTCTGCAAGCACATGAGAGAACATGTGGGCAGCAGCAGGCCCAGTGGTCCCAGCTGAAGCCTCAGGCAAAGGAGAAACCCCAGCCAAAATCAGCAAAATGAGATCCCAGCCAATCCACCAGCTGACTACAGACACATGATGAGGCCCAGCCAAGACCAACTGAGCCTGATGCAGACCAAAAGAAATGCCCAGCTGAACCCAGCCAAAATTGCATTCACGATGGATTCTGATCCACAAAAATGGTTGGTGATATAATCCACTAAGTTTGAGGTAGTGTATTATGCAGTAATAACAAACACACACACAGGGCTTGACTGATATTATGTTGCTAATGGGGTAAGAATTTTAGATACAAGAGCATTCCTTACGGCCCAGTTAGCTGCAGAGTTTAGGTTTGATGGCTGGATCTCAGAGGGCACCTCTCTCTTGGGGTTAGTATTTAACTTGGTCTGATTTGTTTCCTCCAACNGTTTTATAGTTCCCATTAAAATGGAACTATCTTTTTATTTCTTTTTTGAATACGCCAACTCTGGTTCCTTGCCAAAGTTTCACCTCATTTATCACAGTGTCGAGTCAACACCCCCTGTGCTTGCTCATTATTTCTCCTGAGCTGCTTTTCCCACTATGAAAATGCTCCCAGAGGAGGCCACCTTTCCAGGGATGAGGATCTAGGTTGAAGATAAGGCCATTGTCTTCCTGGAGCAAATAAAGTTTCCTTCCATCTAGCACGATAAAGCGGTGAAAGAGAGCGAGAAGTGAGGAAGGAATCGTTTTTCTGAGTTTGACATGAAAGATTTCAAACTGACATTTGGAAGAGACAATGGGGTTTGGTAATGAGATGATCGCATCATTTATTTATTTCTTTTTCTTTGGAGAATTTATTTTTGTTTTTACAACAGGTGTTTATAGATAACTGCCTTTCAGTTTACTCCTGTAATTTCTCCCATCTCTCCCACAGCTTAGGGGTCTAGTCTTGGCTAGACCAGTAAGAATCACCCCCTTTGCAGATAGTTGGAATGGGGATAATTCTTACATGGATGGGATGGCACGACTTTTCCAGGGCATGAGGGGATGGGTGAGATGTCTGTTGGAGGATTTTGACTTGAATTCAGCTCTATGAACAAGGTCTGCTCATCTCTCACTGAAGCTAAAGAGGGAATAAAGCACTCTCTAGGGCCCAAGGTCCTTGGTTAAGGTGGGTAGAACAAGCAGAGGCTGGGTGGCCCTAGATCACTAGTGTGGACAAGGCCACCCAGCTGGAGGCTGTGCAAGAAAGGCACCAAGACTCTTTACTCCTGGGGTGTGCTGCTGCAGGTTTTGAAGGTGCTTTATAGGAGCATCGCCTGGGAGGGTGTCTCCATCTGCAAGCTTGAAGCTTTGTTGTCTTTTCTATTATGTTGCCACTTAATCCTATTGTCTATGTAAATAATTTGTCTTGTGCACCTAAAATGGGACAATATTATGCCAGGTGCAGGAAGGCACTGGGGACAGTAGAGAGTTATATAAATAAGAGTGGGATGTAGCCTTCCCCTCAAAGGACACTCCTTCTGGGTTGGGAGGAGGAAGAAAAGCAGCCGAGGAAGGAGAAGAGAGGGTAGTGAAGATACGGGGGAGCTAGATGTGACCAAGTCTAGGCCTGGTGGCTTCAAGTTCTACAATGGAATTCTGCTGTGGAAGCAGCCAATCTGATGACAAAAATGGCCCCTGATCATCCAGCCCTCCCTGTATCCAAACCCTTTGCAATGTGACTTTTCGGCTCTTCCCACCAAGAGATGGACTTCCCCACCCCTTGCGTCTGGGCTGGCCTTGGGACCTGCTTTGGCCAATAGCATGTGGTGCAAGGACAGTATGCTAGCTCAAAGCCTGGAGGCTTCAAGAAGTTCCCCATGCCTTCTCCTCGGCCTGGACACCTGTGACTGCCATGTGAACAGTTTGGCCTACTCTGCAAGCACATGAGAGAACATGTGGGCAGCAGCAGGCCCAGTGGTCCCAGCTGAAGCCTCAGGCAAAGGAGAAACCCCAGCCAAAATCAGCAAAATGAGATCCCAGCCAATCCACCAGCTGACTACAGACACATGATGAGGCCCAGCCAAGACCAACTGAGCCTGATGCAGACCAAAAGAAATGCCCAGCTGAACCCAGCCAAAATTGCATTCACGATGGATTCTGATCCACAAAAATGGTTGGTGATATAATCCACTAAGTTTGAGGTAGTGTATTATGCAGTAATAACAAACACACACACAGGGCTTGACTGATATTATGTTGCTAATGGGGTAAGAATTTTAGATACAAGAGCATTCCTTACGGCCCAGTTAGCTGCAGAGTTTAGGTTTGATGGCTGGATCTCAGAGGGCACCTCTCTCTTGGGGTTAGTATTTAACTTGGTCTGATTTGTTTCCTCCAACGAGATAGTTGGTTTTAAGAGAAAGAGCCATTTCTATTTGTCTTTCTACCCTGCAGTGCCCATGCAGTTAGCAGATGTGTTCGACAGAGCAGTCTTTTCCTCTCTGGCCAAACCTCCCTGCCTCCTGACCAGCCGGCACACAGCTCTATGGCAACGATGGTGTCTGCTTAAAGCAGACCAAATGGAGTAATTTAGGGAAGAAACTATGTAACGTTTGGGTCAAAGGTATTCGGTAAAGAAAATGCCTGATGAGCTCTGTAGGAATCTAGAAACTTGTCCAAATACCTTCCTGGGAGAAGAAGGATCCCAACTTTACAGGAAATTTGGTTCCATTGGTGGATTGTAGAAAAACACCCCAGGTTTAAGGACAGATTTGAGACTTTCTCCAAGCTATAGAAAAGGAGAGAGCTTTTGGGAAGAAAGGAACAGCTGTCAGAAACATTTCATGTTAGGTATCAAAGAAATCCTTGTGGGTTTTTCTATGTATCAGAGTCTGTTTCTACAAATTATCAGGAAGAATGGTGAGAGTATCCTGAGTTAACCCAAATAATCCTAATAATAGGTTATTATGTATTGAGCATTTTCTATGCTAAGTAAATGTGGTGGCATGCAATCTTATTTCACTTTAAACGACCCTATTATTATCCCTATTCTACAGATATAAGGACAAACTAAGGCCGAAAGTGATGGCAGGTCTACCTAACTCCAAGTCTTGCTTGCCTTTTCACAAGCCTGGAACCCCTTCTGGGTTTGTGTTTCAGGAAATGCTGTGAGTTTAGCTTTCAGGCAGGAACACACATTGGGAAATCTTCTTTAGCCCATGCTCCGGGTCCCTCCACTGGGATTACTGTGGTCCACCGCCAGGGTCTCCCGGAGAAGCTCAGACTTCCTGCGATGGGGGCTTTGCAGCTGCTCTGGTTAAAGAGCTTGCCAGATGTGTGGAACGGAATAAAAATCCCCGGAATGTTGTCCCTGTTGGTGTCATCCATCACTGTGGCACAGACGACTCCTCTGAGGGCCTCTCCCAAACCTCAGCCCTGTCGACCTGCATTTGACGCTTCCAATCTGGCTGACGGGGCGAGCCCAGCAGAGACCCTCGCTGGCAGGCAGCAGGACAGCTGATGGATGGGCTCAGCCTGTGTTGCTGGGCAGAGCCAAGCCAGCTTTGAAGAGGCATTTCCACAGGCTTGCTGGCTGCCGCGTCACCTGCTTCGGGGAGATGGGCAGAGTCTGTGCTGTTTGATGGCTACCTCCTCTGCCATCCATTGGGGATCGTGGACTGGGCACCTTCTGCTCCAGCAAGGCCCTCACCATGCACTGTCTCCAGCAAGACCAACCGAAGAGGCAGCTTGCCTGTGGGCACAAGCCATGCTGTTGTGTAGCCAGCAGAGATTTGACAAATTCCATCAAAGCACAACCCCCGTGTGGAATTAAATCAGACACCTACCAAGGATGTTCTTAAAACCTAATCTACTCTTTGCAGAAAAGCCCAACCACTACATCTTGCCCGACTCCACAGCCAGAGGTTAATGGAATACCTTGTGATAAACTCTGGAGACCAGGGACAGCCTGCTTCTGGATTCCTTTGCTCACCCACCAAACTGTTAGAATCTATAGGCAGAGTTCTTGTAGCACCCAGTTCTCAGGATGCTAAATCCAATACTCTCCACTCCCTACTAAGTTGTTTTTCAACCTGCACTTAAATACCTCCAGTGCTGGGGAACTCGTTATTGACCAAGAGCCCAGTAGCCCATCCAGATTTTTGGAATCTTCCTAACTTCAATGGTTGGGAAGTTCTTCCTGTTTGCAGATCAAATCTGACCGATAGCTTCCAATGTACTTAGTTAACACTATAAACCTTATGGACACATAGAACAAATCCACTCTCTTTTCTGTGATCTCTGTTCAGTAGGGCCATTGCTTACAGTTGCAACATGAACACGTTCACTGCACAATTACAGGTGTTGTACACTCATGGCAGGTGTCTTTTACAACTTTCTGGCAGATGGCAGTAAAGTGTCTTGAGGTAAAGAGCCTCCTTAATTCCCACAAAGTTGCCTCATAGACTAGAAGTGAGGCTGCTTTTCAGATATTTGTAAAGAGTGAGGCTGCTTGAGTCTTCTGTGCTCCAGTTCCTCCCATGGTGTCACCCTAAAGCTTCTGCAGCTCCGTCTCTCTGACACTCAGGCCCAAGAAACCCCTTTAATGGTGCCTGAGCAATTTCTGCTTGAGGCTGGGGAAGAGGCAACTCTCCCAGCCCTTGGCTTTGGCCCCCTCCCTGGACTCTCAATGTGGGTGGCCATCAGCAAGCAATCTCTCTGAAATGGGACCCTTCTGGGGAACTGAACTCCATGTTGTCGAATACTCTCCTTTGCTTTGGAAAAGACAGATTTTCTCAAAATCCCACATGCATGCTCATATAAATTTCTAACCAACTCCACAAAATTCCCTGAGCATGTGGGGTGGGAGAAAGATCTGGCATGACTTGTGCTGAGCCGGCACAAGTCTGTCCCACGTAGGGCTCTGCTGCTGGAGAATCTTGACTGTCGCACTGAATTTGGCCAGGTCACCACCATCTTTGCTCCAAATGGATCCTAGATCCAAAGCTAAGATGTGACTGTGGTCTCCATGTGCTGTCTGCCTGGCTCTGGGCCTCTGTGAAGGACCAGCCCAGGTCCCTACCCAGGGGGGATGTTGGCCTCTGGCCACATGGAGTAGTGAGCGGAGCTCAGAGAAGCAGAAGGGAGACTCAGGCCCAGAGTCAGAGACCAGGAGCAGGTGACGGGGTAGGAAGGAGCAGCCCCGCCCAGCCCTGGTGGCTGTGGGGACCAGACAGAGGAAAGCGAGATGGAACAGTGGAGAGAGAGTCTTTGAGAGACTGAGAGCCCGTGAGAAAGAGCAGGACCTGCTGGGCATGGACGCGTTGAACCTGAGGACACAGAGGGACGAGGCAGAGGGGCAAGGGTGGAGGTGCTGGTGGGAGGCCCTCGCTGGGGTGGATCAGCCTTGAGGCTGCCTGTCTGAGGTGCTGGCCTCTCCCCAAAGGAGGGTGTAGTGAATGNGTGTAGTGAATGGGGGCACCGGGCTGGCCCACCTGTGTCACTGCTCGGTCACACCCCCACTTTGTCTAGGACTTTCCAGCTCAGCTCACCACTAAGGGGCTGTGTGGCCAGGAGCAAGCTGCTTCCCTTCTCTGTACTTCAGTTTCGTTCTCTGTACAAGTGAAAGGTTTATGTTGGCAATTTTTCCCTTGGGGTCCTGAGACTGGGCATCAGGGGTGTCCACTGGGCCACTTAAAGTTGTGTGAAGAATTGCACACATGCAGTTTGAACAAATCCTCACAGGCATGTGTGACACCCCTACCCAGTTGAACCCTGGGGTTTCTCCAGCACCTCCATTCTCGGGCCCCCTTTCCTCTTCCCAGAACCAGCCTGCGGTTGGTGGGAAGCCCCAGCATGATCAGCACACTCACCAGGGTCCAGGTCTTCAAGGAAAGACATCAGGGAGAACTGAAAAACAAAACAACACAGAGCGCAGCAGAGTTGAATCCGGGGCAAGGCCGAGCCAGCCGGGCGCCCTCCTGAGCTCCCATAAGCCAGAAAAGATCCCATCCAGGGCGCTTTCTGATGGTTGCAGCTGGCAGGAGGGAGGGAGGCTGTGGGGTCTGTTTGAACTGCCCCCCGTTCCTGCGCTCACTGAGCCTGGCAGCATTGCCCTTTGCCTTTGGCAGGGATGCAGGTTGCTGGCACCTGCCTGCTCTTGTGTCGGAACTCGGCTGCCCAGGTGCCGATGCTTTTGCAAGTTCCGTGATTATCATCTGCCCGCTGCCTGATTGTGCGCTGCTGCATTTCATTCTCATAACAACCCTGGGAGGAGGCTTTTATTAGCCTTGTTTATGGCCTAGAACATTTAGACCTAGAGGTCACACAATTGGGATAGGATTAGGATTCATGCTCAAGTCTAGGTGATTTCCTTGGGTGACAGCTGCTGGTGATCGGGAATGGACAAATGCTTAAAACTCTCCAATGACTTCCCCTTGTTCTTGGAATAAAATACAGACACCTGCCATGACCTACAAACTTCATCCCTCTGTCCTCCCTCCCACAGCCCCTTACTAAGCTCCAGCCGTGCCTGGCTGCAACGTGGCTCAAGCCGAGTTCCTCCCACCTCAGGGCCTTTGCACTTGCTGCTCCCTCTGCCTGGAAGCCCTCTCCCATGGCCACCACTAGGTCTCAGTTTAAATGTCATCTCTTCAAGGAGGTCCTTCCCAAATGCCCTGTCATTGTGACATTCTCCCCACCCCATTATTTTGTTACCGCACCATTTAATTCCTTCCATGGTCATACTACAGCACCTGGTTTTCTTTTTATGTGCATGTCATCTGTCTTTCACATCAGACGCTGTCCTTCAGAAAGGCAGGGATCTTGTCTGTTTTGTCATTGATGTACTATTCATTACTTAGCATAGAGTTTGGCACAGGGCATTCCTCAAAAAGTTTTTGCTGAGTAAATATACAGTGATATGAACAATCCCTTTAAGAATGAAGTACTTAACCAGAAAAAGAAAATTGGACTCATTTAATAACTGAAATATGTTCTTTCACTTAAATCAGGGGTTGGTAAACTATAGGCTGTTGGGTGAAGCCCAGTAGTTGCATTTTTGTAGATAAAGTCTTATTGGAACACAGCAATGCCCATTTGTCTGCATGTTGTTATGGCTGCTTTTGTGCTGCAGTGGCAGAAGAGTTGTGACAAAGAAAGTGTAGCTCAAAAAATTTACAGTCTAACACTTTATAGACAAACTTTGCTGACCTCTGATTTAAAAAATGAGAGTTCTATCAATCACACGACAGGTTTCCTTTCCGGTCTTGGCTGCCAGAAAGCCGAGATCAATGCGATGCATCTTTCCAGTACCTACATCAATCTAGGCAATTTGGTATATTTGCTTTCTCTACCCTCAGCAGAAGTTTTAATTTTCTGTTTTACTGTAGGCTTCCTTAAACTATTCTGGATAGTAGTCAGATGATAAGCTAGCAAAGAAAGATAAAAAGAGGACACAACATCAGCAGATAGTATTATTGATAAAAATGCTTATCTTGAATCTACTCATGAGGAACATGACAGATCCAGATTGAGACCCAAATTGTGGGGCATTCTACACAATAGCTAGCCCAGACACTGATGTCAACGTCATAAAAGGCAAAAAAAGATGGGAAGGTATTTCTTTACTAAGAAACATGAAAACTAAATGCAGTATGTGATCCTTGATTGAACTCCAGACTTAAAAGAAAAGCTGTAAAGGACATTATTGAGACAATATAAACTTATATTACATAGTATTACTGTATCGATTTTTAATTTCTTGAGTGGATAATGGTATTGTGGTTCTGTAGGAAAATGTACTTATCCTTAAGAGATGCATGCTTAAGTATTTAGGGTGATATCTGCAATTTACTTGCAAGTGATTCAGCAAACAAAGAAATAGAACACACACACACACACACACAGGAGAGAGAGAGAGAGAGAGAGAAAACGTGGCAAAAGGTAACAATTGTTGCATCTATCTGGGTGAAGGATATTCAATGTAGTATTCTTCCCACTTTTCTGTAGGTTTGAAAAATTCCAAAATAAAGATTGGGGGAGGAAGGGAGGCCGTGTATTTTCTGATACCATGCCTCCGTTTCATTGCCTCACAGTCCCCAGGCCTGCAGGGAATGAGACAAGGGACAGGTGCTTTGTTTGCAGGGTGGGGTGGGGCTGATAGTGGGGCAGGCTGGCAGTGGAAGGGCAGTTCAGGTCTTAGGGCTGTTCCTGGGCTTGAGGTGCTTGAACAGGGAGCATCTGAAATTGACACCTGGGCGTGAGTGCCCAGGAGGAGGGACGTTAGGGGACCCCAAGGACAAATGTTACTCCTCCTTCAATCTTCCCCCCATCATAGCCAGTCCACAGTGACTTAGTCCTGGTCCTCATGCCCTGCTTCATCTTCCCTCCATTGAACTTGTCCTCAAGGCAGGGCCTGTCCCTCTCTACCTGTCTCCACCCAGTCCTGAAGATTTTTCTATTTGAGCTGAATAGGGTGGGCCATGCCTGGCTCCTGTCAATCCTGAGAAGCGGGCAGGACAGGAGAGAGGACTTTGGGAAATATCTTTCCTCAGGGTCTGGCAGGAAAGTGCCCTCCAGGACCTGCATCTGGGCCAGAGCCCCACAGCTTGGCTCTAGCTGGAGACTGTGGGACAGCCAGGTGCCGTGCTGCCCACAGCCAGCAGGTGGCAGATGTGCCCTTCTTAGGAGCTGACACTTGGAGTAAAACCCAACAAAAAGAAAGCGGGAACTTCCCAGGCTGGGCTGGCCCTTCAGAGCCTTCAGGCTGTCAGGGGTATCAAGCTGCTGCTGCCAGTTGTGCAATGTGGGTTGCATGTCAGGGGGTCTCAGGGACGTGAAGCAAGTCACTCATTTTGTGACAGACAAAGGCTGTGGGGTGATGTGGAATCTGTGCTATCTGGGGACCACATGGGAAAGGCCAGGTCAGTAGCCTGTTATTTATGCCACCCATCTGGATCCCTGGAACTGACCCAGATGACAGCACAGATGGGAAGGATGGACACAATATTTCCCTCCTTCCAGCCCATCATTCCACTCAATTTTTTCATAGAGACAGGGGAATGATAGAAGAATGCTGACTTATGGGACTTGCAAATCCAAAGAGGAAGGAAGATTAATGCAGGGGGAGGAAAAGGAGGGAGTAACTAAAAAGGAGGAGGAGAAGGAGGGAACTACTATCTGATCACTTTTATTAAGAGCTGCCAATGGGCCAAGGACTGTGCTGAATGTTTTATACGCACTTGATCTTCTTTATTGCACACACTTGATATTTCAGGTACTATAATTATGTCCATTTTAGAGGTGAAAAAAGTAAGGTTTGCAGAGATTAAGTTGCCCAAAATAACTCAGCTACTAAAGGCTGGAGCCAGGATACAATGGAGTCAGTCTTACATCAGAGTCCTTGCTCCTAAAGCCATTGCTGTGAGGGCTGGTGGACCCATGGAGGTATACATTGCAACCAAAGAATGGAGGAGAAGGAAACAGAAGCGCTCCTGCACCCTAAAAGAGGCAGGGTGTTGAGCTCAGTTAAAATATCAGGTCCTCTGTTCTTGAAAAGCTCCCCAGCAGGCCACAGAGAGGGCCTCTTGGCCCCTGTGACAGCTGAGGAAAGTACAGAAGTCGTATCGAGCCTCAGCTGGTCCACTGTGGCCAACACAGTTCAACAAACATCTCCACCCAACTCAAAAGGCGCACAAGCCCTGCCCACTTCTTCCACCACTCGCACGATTCCTGGTTTCAACAGGGCTAACACGGCGTGTGGGCCCAGCCGACCCAGCTCCTGGTGCAAGGCTGGACACAGCTGCTTCTAGCATGTGGAAATGTAGGTGTTGTGTGCAGATTTAGAGAGGCCACTGCTGGCCCTTGTACTGCACACGCGGGCTTTCTGCACCCAAGGCTCAAAACTCCAACTGTCCCTAGGTTAGCAGCAGGCCCTCGACAATGTTAAACACCCCCAGCCAGCTTGTCTCAAGGTCTGGGGTCTTCTAAGATAAGGTTGTTAGTGAGGGAGGCAGAAAGGGGCAGAGAGAGAAGGATCCTGTGTCTCCGAGTCTTACTGATTTAGGGTATCATCTCCTTAGAGGTGGGGGCATTGAGGTCTAATCTATTTTGTCCTGTCTTCAATCCAGTGTTTATTACAACTCAGGTTCTTCCTCAGTCTTTCAGAATTACAGTCCATCTGGAAAAAAAACCCAAAAAGGCTGAGGCTAAAAGTCTGAGTTGATGTGTTCCAGGAATTAGTTGATGGAAAATGTTCTCAGAGGATTGGGAGGCAGTGCAGGGGTAGGGGCTGGGATTAGATCTGTCCTTGGGGGCCAGAGGCTCAGCTCTGAATGAACCAACAGCAGAGAAATATTTTGCCTGGTAGGTAGAAGGTTGGGACTCTAATCCCGGCCATCCCTTCTTCCTTGGATGTCTACCAAATACCTACTGGTAGGCCAGATGCCACCGACCACCAGGGAAGGCTTGCCTTACTCTTGAGGGCAGCTGGGCATGAGAGAACTCTGCACTATGGCCAAGGAAGGCTGCAACTGCTGGGCTAGAAGGCGGACAGGGACAGGTGTGCACAGGTCAGCAGGGCCAGTCCCCACTTCTGGACAAAGAGCTCAAGGCCAGAGTGAGTGATGGAGACGGCACAGGACGGGGGTTACCAGTGTTCGGTCACCAGCTCAAGGGCTGCCTCAGCCATCCTCCTGCTCTGGCTCCTGCTGCAAGCATAAGCTATATCATGAGATGAGCAGTTGTACCCAGCCACTCAGTCCTCTTTTTTTTTTTTTTTCCAAATTGCGGTAAAATGCACGTAATATTTATTATTCAACCATTTGTAAGTAAGCATACCATCAGTGGCATTCATTACATTCAAAAGGTTGTGGAGCCATCACCACTGTCTATATTCAAAACTTTTTCAT